ATGGGCATAAAACCGGAGAAACACCCCTTAACACCAAAGACAAGATCAAACAGCCCCACCACCGAACGAAGAGAGGGGGGGGAGAAGGCACTTGCCTGCACGGCGGTCGGCGGGTCGAACAAGTGCGCCTGTTCACACGCAGAGCTGTGAAGGGGTCCGTTGCCCGCGAGTCAAAGGACGTGCGGATCTCGGCTGCCTCTCGGCTGCATAAAGCAGCTGCCTCTCGGCTGCTAGATCAGCTGCCTCTCGGCTGCCTCTCGGTTGCCTCTCGGCTGGCTCTCGGCTGCCTCGCGGCTGCCTCTCGGCTGCCTCTCGGCTCCCTCTCGGCTGCCTCTCTGGCGCACCCGCTGGAAGAGGCGCGAGACGGGGAAGAGCTGGCAGCCGAGCCCGAGGAAGGAGCGGCGGACATGTCCGTGGGCGAGCAGCTCAGAGACGACCCACTGCGCGGCGTGAGGTGAGGTGAGGTCGGTCTGTCTCGCTCTCTCTCGCTCTCGCTCTCTCTCGCTCTCTCTCGCTCTCGCTCTCTCTCGCTCTCGCTCTCTCTCGCTCTCCCACACACAAACACACACACGCGCGCGCGCACAAACATAAAGGGAGAAAGAGGGAGAGGGAGAGGGAGAGGGAGAGAGAGAGACTGCCGCGGGCTAGCAGCGCCTGCGCCGTGGCCGACGGCACCGAGAAGGACAGGTTCTGCGCTCCCTGGATGATTGCGGTGTTGATGCCGACGACGCGCGACGCCTGCAGGCTCGTCGTGACGCGTCATGCACGTACACGTGTGCCGCGGGAGCGACGGCGCGCAGAGAGGAGACAGGGAGGAGACAGGGAGGAGACAGACAGGGAGGAGACAAGAGGGAGGCGCAGGGGTCGGCCGGTCGAGATGGGGCGAGTGGACGGGGAGATGGCGGTGCGGCGGGGGCGGGCGGAAGTGTCGCGAAAGTGTTGCGGAAGTGTCGCGAGAAAGTGTCGCGAGAAAGTGTCGCGAGAAAGTGTCGCGAGGAAGTGTCGCGGAAGTGTCCCTCACCGAGTCGACGAGCGGTCCGCCAGAGTTGCCCGGGTTGAGCGCCACGTCGGTCTGGCGGCGGGGAGGCATGCAGGCGGGGGGGGGGGGGGGGGTGAGGAGGACTCGATGCCTGGCGGCCGAGGAGAGGCCGAGGAGAGGCCGAGGAGAGGCCGAGGAGAGGCCGAGGAGAGGCCGAGGAGAGGCCGAGGAGAGGCCGAGGAGAGGCCGAGGAGAGGCCGAGGAGAGGCCGAGGAGAGGCCGAGGAGAGGCCGAGGAGAGGCCGAGGAGAGGCCCGGCTAGCCTCGCTAGGGGCGGGGGTGTGTGGCGACCCGTCCAGGAGGGGGACGTGAGGGTCTCGGAAGGGTCTCGGAAGGGTCTCGGAAGGGTCTCGGAAGGGTCTCGGAAGGGTCTCGGAAGGGTCTCGGAAGGGTCTCGGAAGGGTCCTCCCGCCTGGACCTGCACTATGTCCTCGATGAGCCGGCCGTCCTTTGCGCGGAGCGAGCGCCCCTTGGCGGAGACGACGCCGGCCGAGACGGTCGACGCGAACCCGAGCGGGTTGCCGATGGCCACCTGCCGCGCGCACACAGGGGGGCTGAGGTAGGAGCCCGGCCTCTTGCGCCGCACACCCGCACCTCGCAAGAGCACTCGGACCGTCCACGTAGCCGCGTGGTCCACGCAGCTGCGTGACGCGGCTGCGTGCGGCGAGCACGTGACTCGTCGAGTGCTAGAGGGAGGACGCGGAGCCCGCGTACTCCGCATCTAGGGGCCGAGCACCACGAGCTGCCCCACCCGCAGCGCCTCCGAGTCACCGAGCGTGGCAAACGGCACTGAGCCCGGCGTCTGCAGCCGGACGAGCGCAAGGTCCGTCGCCACGTCCCGCCCCACCGTCGTGCCTCGCAACACGCGGCCGTCGGTCAGCGTCACGCTCATCTCTGACGCGTCGCCGACGACGTGCGCGTTGCTCAGAAGGTAGCCGTCGGGCGTGATGATGACACCGCTGCCCTGCGAGCCGCCTGGCGCGCCCTCGCCCGGTGGCGCGCCCGGCGGCGCCACGGTAGCACCGGGCGCCGCCACCTGGATAGCCACCGTCGCCGGTCCGACCGTCTCGACGGTGCTGACGACGGTGTTTGAGTAGGCGTCAAGCGCCGCGGTGGAGAGCGGACGCCGCAGAGCACGCAGCGGCGAGCGGACTGCAGGCAGCGACAGTCGGAGCGGCCACAGAGCGCTGCGGCCGAGGGTCGCGCCAAAGCGGGAGCGCATATCTGAGTTGGAGTTGCTGAGCGGCCCGCGTTTAGCAAGCCCTTTGTAGCCCTCGGTCGAGTCGAGTCGAGAGCGCGGCGAAGTCCGACGTGAAGTCGCGCTTTTCTCCTTCTCCGCGTTCCAGCAGGCGCGATTTTCAAACATACATTGAAAAAACGCTCCTCATCGCAAACCCCGTCAGCAGTCCTCCTCCGGGAATGTACGTAAGAGCTACATACACTGAAAAAGTAGTAACCGTGATCTGTGTGGGGGCGCGGAGGGCAAACAAACGCCATCGCCGCAGCTATCGCCACCTACGAGTCCGCCCTCTCGGACTGGAAGGAGGTGTGCGAGAAGCGCACCGCCCGCGACAAAAACAAGTACTACACCGTCCGCGGCGGCTACCTGACTGAGTTCTACCCCAAGAGCGTCCCGCTCCCCGAGCCCGAGTCCCTTCCAGCTACCGACGCGATTCTCAATGGCACTTGCAAATCCACGTACCCGCGGCCGCGGGCGCTCGCTGCCATCAAGAATCACAAGGACTGGTTCGCGCACCAGGAGCTCGTCAAGGCGCGGGATGTGCACGTCAAGAACTACCCGTCCCTCGGAGACAGCGCCGTCAACAACCGCGAAGCCGCGCGCCTCGTCTCCGCCTCAACGCCTTTCGCCGGCAAGGCCTTCGATGTCCGTGTCGACGGTACGTACGCTACCGCCCTCTCCTCCGACACCCTCCAGGACGAGCTCCAGCGGAAGCTCGGCCTTTGGCTCTCCGCGGCGCTTCCCACCCTTCGGGTCGCGCTCGAGCGGGGCATGCCAGTCGATTTCTTCGGCGACTACCTTTACAACAAGGCCCACCACCGGCGGCCCCACGACGGCGTCCTCGCCGCCTGGGCGGACGCGATGCGCGCCCCGGCCAACGCGCCGGTTCGTGCACGGCGACAAGGAGAAACCAGAGCTCACCCGGCAGTACAATGAGGGGTACAAGACTGACCTCGCAGAACCCCACGCGGGACCGGGAGGATGCGATGAAGTAAATGAGATCAAGCTCTGGACGCCCCTCCTCAAGACCTCCTCGACGGGCGTTGGCAACGCCTCGAGTGGCGGCACGCCCGCCTCCGTCGGCCACTCCTACGCCTTCGGCAACACCGAGGAGAAGGCCCGCCGCCTGAACATGGGCTGCAAGGCGCGCGGGCAGCCCAGCCAACCCTTCTCCCACAAGACCGGCCACGGCTACGTCAAGGCGCATCGCGGTTTCTACCACGACGCGATCTTTGTCAAGCGCAACAACTTCAACCTGCTGCTCGCCTGCTCCACGAGACGTTCGGCGGCGGCTTCTCGCCCACCGCCGTTCTCAAGCTGCGCCGCCTCGCGCGCAAAGTCGCGCGCGGCAGCGTTGACCGCACGGCCTACTCGCCCAAAAGTACTCGCTCTCTTTTATGTCCCACCATGCAGAGCGCATCTCTCTCTCTGTTGTGCGAGGCGTGAACCGCGCCATTCGCTCTCACCTGGCAACCCTGTCTGCACGTCTCGCGCGCGCGTGAACAGGGCTCCAGGCCCCAAATTACGTGTGAGTGTTAGAGTTGTTTGGTATTGCTAAAAATCTCGGAGGGCTTGTTGGCGAGCCAAAATGGTGATGTCCGAGGCGCTGCGCTAGGCTCAGAGCGAGTTCGCGCTGATGGCGCGTGTGTTGCGAGCCTGCGAGAGATTGCGCTGCGATGAAAAGAACAAATCCAAACTCCTTACTTCAGCTGGTATGTCGGCTGTCGGGCCTCTCTGCTCTGCGCCCCGTGGCCGCATCGGCCGCCGCATCGGCCGCCGCATCGGCCGCCGCATCGGCCGCCGCATCGGCCGCCGCATCGGCCGCCGCATCGGCTGAAAGACATTTCACCCCTCGGGCTGTTGTTGCAGACAGAAAAAGAATGAGAGTCGTGATCTCTTGTTGGTTTTCTAAAATCTCTCTCTCTCAGAAAAACAAATTTGGCGCGCGTGCGCGCAAGGTCTGCTAGTTCTTTTAAGGGTCCTACGACCCGAGGGATTTTAAGGAGAGGAGTGTGGTGCTACCGCTTGGCTGCATTCTTTTACTTGGCTTCAAATTCTTTAAAAAACCGGGACAAGTTGGGAGGCGCGAGTGGCGCTGCCGCCGGCGCTTTCGATCCTTGCTGATGGGCGGTGGGTCGTCCAAGGAGCTGGCAGCTGCTGAAGTGTGGCCTCCGGGCTGGTGCGCCGCCTCCGCTCCTGCCGCGTCCACCGGCGCCTTCGCGCGTCCCATCGCCCTGTGGAGCGCAGCTCACCCGCGCTCGTTGCGTGCGCAGGCTGGAGATTCCAGAGGGGCCGCGCCTGATTGCGCGGACCGCGATCCTCACCATTTCGAGCATGACTCCCGACGAGTTTTGCGCGATGAGCGGCGCACCATACTGCATACCGGCGGATCAGTGGGACTTTGCGGAGTTCCACGCTGCCGCGGCCGCCGCCGTGCAGGAGGACGCGAAGATCAACAAACTGACGTATGCGTGCGTGCCGCGGCGAATGGACGAGAGCGACTTCTGGCGGCTCTACTTCAGCAAGGTGCTCTACATTCTCGACTCGGTCAAGCAGCATGGCACCTACCCTCCGCCGGTGGCGGAGCCGAGCGCCGCGCCGCCACCGCAGCAGCCTAGCGAGGAGGACAGGGGCTGCCTGGTCCAATGACACGCCCGTTGTGCGTGCGCCGGCCCCCAAGGCCGCGGGGAGGGTGCGGAGGCGCGCGTCCAGGCCGCCCTTTTGCGCCACCCTCTGCCCACGCGAGTGCAGTGCATATTTAGTCTCTCCGGGCACAACGCTCTCTCAACGAGCGACGCTGTGGCGGCGGCGCAAGCGAGTGGCCATCCGACGTCTCTTGATCACCGTCCAAAAGGTTTTATACCGAGTATCGGAGCGACACGCCCCACAGGCACAGCGAGCCACAACAGAGATCATACGTCTGTGGTCTGTGGCGTCGTGTGCGGTGTGCCGGGGTGTGGGCACACACGCACGGTCACGCCCACACATTTGGGTTTCATACATCTTACATGGGAAGTCGGGACACGTCCCCGGACCCCGCGCGCGCGGACAGTTCCCAGCTGCCGGTCACGTGCGTCCGAGATCAGCACACTTGTCGGCACGCGCACAGTTCGCGAGTAGACACAAGACATGGCACATGCTCGAGGACCTGCAGAGCGGACGATCCGATTTGCCACCGCAGCGTCTTGCCCTCCGCGGCCGTGGGTGCGGCCGCGGGAGCAGCCGGCTGTGGGTCTTCTGCCATGGTTTGCCAAGCTTCTCGCCAGGTCAGTCGAGGTTAGTCGATCTCGGAAGAAGAGTCGATACCCTTCTCACCCAAAACGCGCGTTTCTTTTCGGTGCAGCTGCCGCCTGTTTTGCTGCGCGATCCAGTTAAGGCTGAGCAGCGTATGCGAGAGCAGCTTAGCGGGCGGGTCCAGCAGCCGAAGACAGCTCACAAAGGGGCCGCATTGTGGTTGACGGTGGCGAGACTACTTGCCGTCAACGAGCGCCATCTCAGACTCAGTAACAGTGCCCTGCACTCGTACACGGGACGCCCGTTGATGCAGCCAGCTTGGTCCTAACTCCCGTAGTACACACCTAGCACGACTGCGTATACGATAGGGTACAGCCACCTCGAAGCCACATCGAGGTGTTGGTCGCGCAAGAGCATCTGCCCGCTGGTCCCCACGAGCAACCGCTGCGGGCTCAGACGCTGCAGGCATGAAAGTGCCGGGAAGCTGCTGGGGGGAAGGTGTCGCAGCGTTTGCTCGCGCTTTGTGCCGGAGCCCGCCGTGCCGACGCCAGCAGCTGCTCCCTCGGCGCGTGCCTTCTCCTCGGCGCCGTCGATGCGCTTCTCCAGCCGCATTAGCCAGTTGGCGACGGCATACTCCAGAATCGCAAAGAAGACAAAACCTTTGAGGAAGAGAGCGGGTGAGAAGTGAGGGAGCAAGGAACGGAGTGTGTGAGGTGGTGCACCAACCTTGCGACGCGGTCATGAGGCCAAGTAGGCGCACGTAGTACGAGAGCTTGGGCAAGGACGCACTGACCATGCTGTTCAAGTTGGAGAGCGTGAGGTAGCAAATCAGCGTCATTGCGACGCGGGCGGGCACCGCCGTGCGTGAGATGAAGAAGGACAACCACGAGATAGCCACGAGCAGGATGGTCGGCCGCACGACGTTGTTGGCATACCATGCGCTCCGCCGCTCAAACGTGAAGACGAGCTCGACATAGTCCTTGCTCGAAGCGAAGAGGCGACCAGCGAGGCCGGTGCCGTTGCGCCCGCGGATCTCGGTGCACTCCCATTCAGTCGAACTCATTAAATGGTGCATCTGCGGCGTGTTGTACACGTTGCGCTCGTAATAGGCTGCGTCGCCGCCAGCAATGTCCCCGAGCGCCAGCGTCATCCGCGAGTGTTCGTCGGCCGCCACCAGCCGCACGTAGCACTCCTGTGTGTCCCAGGGCATCTCCGAGAAGTCCATGCCACACTTGACGTCAAACGAGGCCCGATACGAGTACCAGACGGCACCGGTGCTGTAGATGAAGAACTGCTCGTCGCGCGCGCGGAACTCCTCGGCATTCGGGTGCGCGTTGTCCACGATCACGGGCGGTACCCACACTCCCGAGCTCTCCGCCTGAATTACGTAGAGGGGGAGCATCGGCGGCCAGATCACCGTCCGGTCGAGGAAGGTGTACGCGCCTCGCTCAACGAGGCACGAGGGGTCAAATCGCAATCGCGTATCCTGCCATGCGAAACTGACCTGGAGCTCCACAGTCACCCGTTGCTGCCGCGTGTCCAGCACTCCTATCTGCTGAGGCACCAGCGGCAGCGCTACCACCGTGGGCGTGTCGTGCGGTGGCGGTCGGACGTGGCGGTCGTATGACGGAGCGCCAGCAACCAGCTGGTCGAACTCCTTGAAGGAGGCGGGGCAGGGGAGCGGGGAGCAGCAGGCAAAGGGCACGCACGGCGCGCAAGCACTGGAAGCACTGGTTTCCTGCAGCGGGCCGCAGCAGGCCAGGCACTCAGGCTGCGACGCTGTGATGTCAGCCACAAAGGGCTCGGGCGGGCAGGTGCCGAAGGGCGCGGAAGGCAGGGTGGTGTTATCGGCAACGCTGTTGTTGGAGACACTGTCGGACGCTGGCGCGGGCGCGGATGTCCGTGCACGTTGGCCACGGGGCAGGGGCACGGCGCTTATCAGGGCAGCGGCAAACATGACACCGCCTGGGATGTCGAATGTTTGGAGCGCGCTGGCCTATGAAGCAGAGCACCACGGCGCGCGTACCGAGAGGGCAGGGGGCGGAAACGAGGGCGTTTTCCGCGCCGCGTTTCGCGTGTCCCCTGCTGCTGTGGTGGCATCGCCGTTGGCTTCCTCTCTCCCCCTTTCCTCCCTGCCCCTCTCCAGTTGTCTCTTGTTTTGGGACGACAGAGCCGTTGTATACGGTAAATGTGACTTGTTGTCTCTCACACGTCTTGACGAATGTAGAGGGAAGACAGCGCCCCAAAATCCACCAGTGTGCGACACTCGGAGACTCAATGCTAGGTGCGTAGACGTGCGGAGAGAGCCCCACCGCGTGCCACCGCCAGCGAGCCTGGGCAGGGAGCGGGGCACGTAGTATAGGATGACCACGTGTCAAAGAAGCACTCCTGCATGCATCCTCGTGCTCCGAACCATGGCAGCGCGCGCCTGTCCGTGGCCGTCAGTCGAACATAGCTTGCAGGCGCCGCGCCACCTGGTGGTCGTTGTTGATTTGCTGCAGCCTGCGCTGTTCCTCGCGGTGCATCCTTTGCGCTGTCGATGCATCGCGATCCAGCAGGAGATCTCCGACCTGACCGGCGCGGACGAGTCGCCCCGCCCGTCGGCCAGGCAAGGGGCGGAGAGGCGCGCCTCTCAAGGGGCGTCGGCCGCTGCCAGCGGAGAGGCGCGCGGCCAGGCAAGGGGCGGAGCCGTCAAGCGCGCAGCGGCCGTGCCGCCCGGCTGGCAGGGCCGAAAAGGGAGACCCACCCCCTCCCGACGCGGGTGGGCCGCGCTCGCCCGACGCAAAGTCGAGTGAATCGACTGCGTCCTCCAGCACATTGCCGTCCCAGGCCGGCCACTGACTAATGTCGGCAGCAAACCATCCGCAGCGCGGGCACGCATTGCCGTTGTACGCATCGTGCCGGTGGGTGGTCAGCGCTGAGCACGCAAAGTGCTCGATCGGCCCGTAGCGACACTGGCCACACATGCGGGCCCCTGGGATCGAGGCGCGTAGCTGCTGGGCAAGCAGTGTCCTGTTGACCCCCTTCGAGCTCTGCTGCAAGCGGTTGGCCATGTCCCGCACGGTCTCCATCAGCCGCTCGTTCATCTCAAGGAACAAACGGCGGCGAATTTCGGCCATCCTCTGGCGGTCGAAAGCTTTGTAGTCATCGGGACTTAGCAGCAACGCAACAGACTGGTTGTCGAAGCTTGCTGTGCAGCCGCCGGCTGCATCCGGATGGCACACGCACGGGATGCAACCATTGTGCTGCTGCATCAGAGCTGTGGGGCCACGCGCCAAGCATTCCTGGGCATGACCACGAAAGCAGTCCCCGCATATACCGTGCCGAGTGGAGGTGGAGCTGCAGAACACCACTGCCACGTCACTGAAGCAAACGCAGCACTGCTCAGCCTCGGCTTTGGCCGGCGGGAGGCTGAGGGTCGACTCATCGGCGTCTGCCTCGTCGGCGTCTGCCTGCTGCTGCGGTTGCCTAGCGTCCTCGCTCGCACCTGATGTGCCCGCTGGCTCCGGGAGGCGTGGTGCGCACGGGGTGGGCACGAGCTCGAGCTCGAGCTCGGTCCCGTCGGGAGGGGCGGTCGGGAGGGGCCTCATCACCGCCTCGGTCATCACCTCCGCCATCTTCTTTGCTATCGACCCCGCCGTCTCCCCCGCCGCCCTCGCTGCCGCTGCCCTCGCCGCAGCGAACCTACCTGCCGCCGTCGAAGCCGCCTCCCAGCCGAAGGCTCGCGATGCGGCTATCATGCCTGCAGCATCCGGTGTCGCCGTCCCCTCGGTCGGAACGTTCATGGCCAGCTCCTCGGTCGGAACGAAACGACCAATCCGCGTGCGGCCGCGGTGAGGCGGCACTTGCGTCTGTTGCTCTGCACTGGCGAGTAGCCCTCGGTCTGCACTCGTGCCGGTCTGCGACTCCGGCTCCGGCTCCAGCTCCGGCACGCTGCACGTACAAGCCACGTGCTTGTGCGCCATGCGCCACCTATCGCACCAGCAGTAGGGGCACTCCCCAAAGCCCGTGTTTGGCGCCATCGCGTTCGACCTCGCCTCGGCCCGCGCCCACACCGCGCCTGTGCTGGCGCATAGGCGACGTGGTAGGATGCTAGGACGCGTCCGGCGCCGATTTTGATTGGAAATTTTCGGGCCGGCCACTGCACGCTCTGTGCACGGAATAGGGACAGAGAATTTCTGTTTCCCAGCGAATCCCACCCGTCATCAGGGCGGCCCTCCTCCTCCGCAGAGACCACGTCCCCAGCTGGCTGCTGGGTTAGAGCCTTCTTCGTCTTAGTCGGCCGGTGAGGGATGTCGGCTGAACCAAACCTTTGATAAATTGCAAGTCGAATGCATAATGCAACGAAATGCAATCACCGCAAAATGCATCTAATGCATAATGCAACGAAATGCAATCACGCGCAAAATGCATCTAATGCATAATCTAGTGCATAATGCAATCACGCGCGAAATGCATCGATGCAACGAAATGCAATCAGCGAATGCAAGTTGTAATGCAGTTGTAATGCAGGCGGTGCATGCGAATGCAAAAAATGCAATGCATGGGCAAAAACCACACGCATTTTGGGCAAGAACCACACTTTTCCCGCCCCGCGCGCTTCCGCGTGAGCGCCGCGGAGAATGTGCGCGAGTTCGAGCTGCAGAGTGGCGACGCGCTAGTCTTCGACACCCGAGCTCGGCGGCGGGGATCGCGCACGAATTGTGCGGGATCGGCGAGGCAGAGACTTGTCCGGCTGGGCTCGGCGAGCGGTTCGCGGAGCTGCGGCGATTTAGGTAGGGGTTCCGGGTGCGGTTCTGATCATCTGCTCAGCACTAGTTTGCGGTGGCTTGTGATCCCGGCTCGCGGTGTGGTGGCTTGGTGGCCCGGGCTACTCGCGTAGGCGAGTGGGCGAGTGGGAGATCGCGCCCCTCTCCGACCAGCTCTCTTCACTTACTCGGCAGTCGTTTTCGTTTTTGCGATGTCGTCTCTACAAAAATAAATATTCTTAGCTTCGCCCTTGCCTCCGACGCTGGGGACAGAACCACACCAGTATCAGACCAGAGGGACTGCCCCCCTCCCCCACCTGCCCTGCTTACACGCACAGGATAGCATGCCCCGAGAGCGGCGACATTTGCGATTTGGCAGGGGTAACCTGGGAAGGAGGTTTGGTTGTGCTTTTTTTTTGCTCTCGAGGGAATGTTCTCTCGGCGCCCATGGCCTTCTGAGGTTTCGTACTAATGACGTCCTTCTTGGCACTTCGGGCGTCGGTTGTGCGTATCTGTTGTGTCTAATTCCCCCGGTAATGTGTTACGGGTATCGGTCGCTGAGTGGACACTACCTCTAGACCATCATCTACTCTGCTTGCTTCGGCCGTCGGCCGCTCGGTGCACGGTGGTCGAGTGGCTTCCGGATCGAATCGGCAGCTTTGACCCTTATAATTTTTTCACACCTGAGCGGGCCCAATTTTGCTCAGGCACCTCCGAATTCGAAATCGCGTCCTCACGCTTAGCGCTTGGTCTGAGGGAGGGTGTAGAGGATGTAGAGTGTAGAGCGCTGTAGAGCTGTAGAGCTGTAGAGCGCTGTAGAGCGCTGTAGCGCTGTAGAGCTCTACATCCGCCGCGGGACGAACTGCGTGCGTTGTAGAGCGATGTAGAGGCGCTCTACAACGTGAAATCTCTACAACAAACTCTACATCAAAAGCGGCGAACGAGGCACGGTCGCTCTCCGACATGAGGCGCGTTGCACTTGCCAGTGCTGCCCTGGCCTTCTGTCTGCCCGCCCAATGGGTGGCAGGTGCCTCTGCTGCTGTGGCATGCCTCACGGCTGCGACTGGCCGGCGCCTCGGCGCGTCAGCTCGGCTCGGCGTAGCGATAGTGGCCAGCGCAACTCGCCTGGACTCAACGCTCAGCCAGGAGCTCCCGCACGCGCTGGCGCGAGGCATGGCGCATGCAACGCGCAGCAATGCTCGCCTCGCCTCGCGCAAATGCGACCGTCCTCGCAGCCGACAGTCCACCGCCTGCTAAAGAAGCACAGCGACGAATGCGGCACCGGCGACGCACGGCAGGCTGGTCATGACGCAGTTATAGGGTGTTGTGTGCCGTCAGAGTGACTCTCTGTGTGTCAGGGATAGTCAGGGCTGTCCATCAGAGCTCCAGTAAGCTCGGAGACACCCCATTAGCGCGGCTCGACCTCTTTGAGTCACTGCCTTCCCGGCGGTTTGGCTGTAGAGCCTCTACAACAAACTCTACAGCAAAATCGAGCTCTACATCGCTCTACAACGCACGCAGTTCGTCCCGCGCCCGATGTAGAGCTCTACAGCTCTACAGCGCTCCAGAGCGCTCTACAGCTCTACAGCTCTACAGCGCTCTACACTCTACATCCTCTACACCCTCCGCCCTCCCCTCAGCGCTTGGTGTGCGTCCGTTTTTCGTCACGGGTGATGTCGTCTCTACACAGTCGCTCTCTTCCTCAAAGGTTTTGTCTTCTTTGCGATCCTGGACACCTGGAGTATGCCGTCGCCAACTGGCTAATGCGGCTGGAGAAGCGCATCGACGGCGCCGAGGAGAAGGCACGCGCCGAGGGAGCAGCTGCTGGCGTCGGCACGGCGGGCTCCGGCACAAAGCGCGAGCAAACGCTGCGACACCTTCCCCCCAGCAGCTTCCCGGCACTTCTCATGCCTGCAGCGTCTGAGCCCGCAGCGGTTGCTCGTGGGGACCAGCGGGCAGATGCTCTTGCGCGACCAACACCTCGATGTGGCTTCGAGGTGGCTGTACCCTATCGTATACGCAGTCGTGCTAGGTGTGTACTACGGGAGTTAGGACCAAGCTGGCTGCATCAACGGGCGTCCCGTGTACGAGTGCAGGCACTGTTACTGAGTCTGAGATGGCGCTCGTTGACGGCAAGTAAGTAGTCTCGCCACCGTCAACCACAATGCGGCCCCTTTGTGAGCTGTCTTCGGCTGCTGGACCCGCCCGCTAAGCTGCTCTCGCATACGCTGCTCAGCCTTAACTGGATCGCGCAGCAAAACAGGCGGCAGCTGCACCGAAAAGAAACGCGCGTTTTGGGTGAGAAGGGTATCGACTCTTCTTCCGAGATCGACTAACCTCGACTGACCTGGCGAGAAGCTTGGCAAACCATGGCAGAAGACCCACAGCCGGCTGCTCCCGCGGCCGCACCCACGGCCGCGGAGGGCAAGACGCTGCGGTGGCAAATCGGATCGTCCGCTCTGCAGGTCCTCGAGCATGTCTACACCATGGAGCCCTTCCCAGGCGCGCGCGCGGCCCGGCGGGCCTCTCCCGCGCAGCGCAGCCCTCGCCTCGTCAGCCCCTCCATCTCGCGTCGCGGCCTGCCGCGCGCCGCGCGTGAGCGCGCAGCCTGCGCCCGGCGACCCTCTGAGCCGATCCGTCCCTCGCGCGCAGGCCTCGAGACGCGCAGAGACCTCGCGCGGCAGCTGAACGTGTCGGCGCGCCAGGTGCAGGTCTGGTTCCAGAACAAACGACAGCGCGAGCGCAAGATCTCAAAGCAAATGGGCCTCTTCTCGACGCCCGGACTGCCAGACACCCCCGCCACCACCGCCGCCAAGGCGGCGGCTTCTGCAGGCAACTCTGGGGGCGGGGCGGGGAGCAGCAGCGCCGACGGAAAGGCGGCCGGCGACGGCGGCGGCGCGGCGGCGCCGGCGGGGACGGAGGCAGTGGCGGCGGCGGCGGCGGCGGCGGCGGCAGCCGCGGCGGCGGCGGCGGCGGCGGGGGTGAGCGATGCGACCAAGGCCGGGTCTGTGTTGCCGGGCGCGCTCGGCGGGCCAAAGCTGCCCGCGCTGCCGCTGATGCGCGCTGCGTCCTGCCCGGGGGGCAAGGAGCCGCCGGGGCAGGAGCCCCGGGGGTCCGGGAGCGGCCCGACCAGCTTGGACGACACGGAGCTGCCGATGGGCCTCGGCAACCAGCCCTTCAGCGGGGCAGCCAAGAAGGGTAGCGCAAAGGTGCCGGCGGGCCCGAGCGGCGGCGACGCGGGCGGCTCGCTGTCAGATCTGGGGTCGCTAAGCTCGATGCCGTGGCTGGCGAGCCTGCAGGGGGCATACCCGGAGCAGGCGAAGCAGGCGGAGCTGCATTGCCGCGCGGCGGTCGCAGCGGCGCGCGCCGCGATGGACGGCAACAGCTCGTCGAGTTTGAACAGCGCGTCGCTCGCGCTGATGGCAAACATGGGAGGGCGGCTCCCCGTGCTGCAGTCGCTGATGTCGCCGCTGGGCGGCACGAGCGCCTCTAGCTTGCTGCTGCCGGGCGGGCCGTCGCTCTTCGACCCGACAGGCGTCGGCGCGTTCGGCGACATCGACGTGGACAGCTTGCCAGACGACGTGCGCAGCCAGCTGCTCGGGGAGCTGGGCGAGCGGGGCGACGGCGGTTTCCCGCTGGTGGGGGAGACGAGCACGACCGCGGAGGCGCTGCTGGATCAGATGGATACGGGCGACGGGCCGGCGCCGGCCGCCGGCCGCCGGCCGGGGCGGCCGTGGCTGCAGCACCCCGCCATCAAGAAGCGGGCGGTGGGCAGCGGGGGCGGCGGCAAGATCGACGGCGTTCCGCTGCAACGTTCGGGGTGCTCGGGGCTGCTCGACGACATGAGCCTCTCGGGCGCGTCGCCCACCGACGAGACTTCCGACTCGGAGCCGTCCGGCACGTCGGTCGAGGGCCTCGCCGCCTCGAGTTTCGCGGCCAAGTTTGGCGCGTGCTTGCCGCCCGCAACGGACGCAGAGGCGAGCATGCAGGCGGCGGCCGACGAGTACGTGCAGGTCATCACCGCGGCGGCGGCGCCCTTCCAGATCGTGTTCGCGTCGGCCGCGTGGATGAGCCTCTGCGAGTACTCAAACCAGGAGGAGGTGCTCGGCCAGACCCTCGACTTGCTCGACGGGCCGCTGACGCAGCGCGACCGTGCTGAAGACTTGATGGGCTCCATCCGCGACGGGCGGCCGTGCTCGCTCAACATCACGCACCACACGCGGACGGGCAAGCCCTTCTCGCACGACGTGCGGCTGGAGCCGTTGCGAGACTCGCAGGGCAAGCTGCATTGCTTCCAGGTACGGCCGCCGCCACCGCCGCTGCGCCGCCCGCCGTGCTCACTCCCCCCCCCCCTCCCTTCAGGCCACCTCGAGCAACATCGTGATGCTCGACGCAGAGGCCGTCCCCGCCGCCGCCGCTGCCGCCGCCGAAGCAGCCGCAGCGGTGGCAGCACGGCAGGGCGGGGCAGGGGAGGCTCGGGGCGGGCAGAGCGAGTCCACACCGATGAGCCGAACCGATTCGGCGCTGAAAATCAACGATGTTTTGGACCTGTTCACCGAGCCTGGCGCCGACAAGGCCGACAAGGCCGACTCGCCACTCGAGAGCGAGTCGGCAGTGGTCAACGCTTTCCTCGACCTCGCCTGATCGGACAGAAATCATAGGACGTCACGGTGCATCACGCCTACTGAGTGAGCGGTCGCCGCCCCATTCGACATCCTCTCGCTCCCTCTCCAGCCGAGCTGCTGCACGCGCATGCGGGGCACGCACCGTGAGGTGCGGGAGGGGGAGGATGGAGATTTGCCGCGGCGGGCGACTCTCTCCGTGTTGTGCGCCGCGCTACCCGCGGTGCCCCAAAGCTCCGTTGCTGTGGGATGCTCTGGCGCTTGTTGGCGCCGCCTTCGGAGCTCTCTGCTGCTCCAGAGCGCCCACCGACTGTGGATTTGACATTGTGTGTGACCCATGTAGTACTGTGTCGTGCGCATCTCTCGCATCCATGTCCCCAAATGTCGCTCTCGATGCAGCTTGCAGGATGGCAGCTCTGACACCTCTGTGTTCGTTAGTCAGAGAGAGCTCGCGCGGCGTGTTCACACGGTGACCGGGAGCACACACGTAACATGGCTCATGGGGGTCTATTTTTATTCGACTGCGTCAAAGTGCGAGTCATCACTTGCCCGCACTGAGACCTTGCGCGAGAAGCCCAAGAAGCGATTCGGGGCTTTGCTGCAGGCCTTGCTCTGATGACGATGTCGTCGACGTCCTGCCCGCGGCCCTGCCTGTTGGGGTCGTTGCGCTTGCCCGCCTGCAGGCGCTATGCCTCGCACCGCCGCGACCGGCGCCGCCCGGGTCGGTGGTATCTTCCCATTTCACGTCTGCTGGCAGGGCGCGCGACTTCGCTGGTTTCAACCTGCCTGCCCGTAGCATTGCCCGAGCGCTCGCGAGGCCTTCCCGCTGCTCCCTGTTCGTCTCCCTAGCCTTGCGGGTCCTCACTGCAGGATGATTAACAGATGGCAATGCCGCGTGTGTCTGTGATGGCGGCGGCGGCGGCGCTGGCGGCGGCGCTGGCGGCGGCGCTGGCGGCGGCGCTGGCGGCGCTGGCGGCGGCGGCGGCGGCGGCGGCGGCGGCGGCGGCGGCGGCGGCGGCGGCGGCGGCGGCGGCGGCGGCGGCGGCGGCGGCGGTGGCGGCGGCGGTGGCGCCGGCGACGGCCCTCGCGTTTGTTCTGTGCGCTTCGTTGCCCTCTGCTGCTCCACACTTTCTTGCTCCGGTGGCGATCGTGGTGGTAGCGACGGCGGAGGAGGTAGCGGTGATTTCTTCGGTTGCGGAGGCGACGACACATGGCTACCATCATCGTCAATCACGTCCATTGCGCCGCCCGATGCAGACGGTTGCACTGCCCCCTGATGCTCGACGCTTGCTCCCACAAGTCGGCCACGATGACATCGGCCACGATGTCGTGCTTGTAGCCGCGTCGCGCTCTTTTCGTCTTGTGCGGCGAATTCTTCTGCTAACCACGCACTGCGCCGCCTATCCGCCTCGGTCCGCCCGTTGCGACCGCGCCAGTGTGCCTGTATCATGGTCACCGTCGTCGAATCCTCTTGGCACGACGATTCCGCCGCATACCGCCGTCGCCTGTCCACCTCACCTCGCCCCGTTCGCCTTCGATGTGGTGCTTGCAGCGCCGCCGCCGCCGCCGACGTTTCTGCATGGGGTCGGCATTGCTGCTGCGACGCTCCCTGTTCCTCTCTCGCCGCAGTAAGCACTGCCGCTGCTGCAGCTCGCGCAGCCTTGGCGGGGTCCTGCGCAGCTTGTGCGGGGCCGCCCAGCGAGAGGACTGCCCGCTCACACGCGGTTGGCCTTGCAAGCAGCCAGACGAGGGCGGAATTTGCTGGATCAGTCAGCACCGAGTCCATGGCAGCCATCATGTCCGACTCCTCCCAGCGGTCCGGGGCATTGTGCAACGCGCGCACCCACGCAGCAGGCCCGAGCAGCTGATGCACCACAGCGGCCCATGCGTCGAGGCCGCGGCTCGCTCGCGCCGCCGCGACCGACCCTGGATCGGCGCGCCGCAGTGCAAGCCGCACCGCCAGCTCCAGCTTTGCCGAGCGGCCGCGGACGCACCGCTGCAGCAGCGTCACCGCAGACTCCTTCGAGGGCTCGCTTGCGTGATGATACTTCACAACGTGCGGTTTTTGCGCGGCACTGCCATCCTCACCGTCACCCTCCGCCTCCCCGGCAGGCTTCGCCTGCATCGCTACCCCTCGCTCTGCCGCTGCTGCTTCAGCACGATGTCTCCGTCGCTTCGACCCTTGGGTGGCGGGCTTGCAGGGAAAGAGGTCGATGGCGCGTTCACAGAAGCGCTCGAGGCACGACTGCTTTGTGCGGTAGAGTTGCACCAGCCGGCAGTACTCGTCAAATTCGATGGTGCCGGAGCGGTCCTTGTCGCACTCAGAGAAGAGCTCATCGAGCTCGTACCTGTAAGGAAACATGCCCGACTCCTTCATCGCTCGTCCAAACTCGCGCTGGGTCAGTGCGCCAGAGCCGTCGGCATCGAAGCGGTCAAAGGCATCGCGGAACCTGCGACGCTCGGAGGCCGAGAGCGGCCGCAGCTGTGCATCCATTTCAGATCGGCGCCGTTGCATGTTCTCTCTCTCTCTGGCCGCAGCCTGCACCCTCGCGCGCTTCAGGACGCCCCGCACTGCCGCCTCATCCTCCAACATGCAACCGACGCCTGCTGCAAGGTCGTCGAGAGCGTCGAAACCACGGCCCTCAGCCACTCGGATATCAGAGGCGTCGACCCCATTGTCGAGGAGGAATGCAATGATCTCGGCGCGTGTCAAAGGCATGCGAGCTACACGACTCGGCCTCACCGAGCTCGCTACGTCGACGCGGGGACGGACGAGTTTCCCCGGCGGCCGCTTCTCGTTCACAGCCTTGTTATGAGAAGAAAATACGTCCAGTGGCGCTATGCGCTGGTCTGTGAGAGGTTGAGGTGCGAGCCCTGGAGGCCCTGGGGATGGTTCACAGGCCTCGTTCTCCCCACTGCGCACTAGTCTATGCGAGGTTGAGGTGCGTGTGACCTTTTCCCCCTTTCCCCCCTTTTTCTCTTCTCATGTTGTAAAATCGGAGGGTCGAAAAGAAACATACAACGCAAACTAAGTCAAACTAAAGGGCATCTTCACATAAAAGCACAACCCAGGGGCCCGAAATCGCACACAGACAGAGAGTCACGCAACACGGGGTCCCACGCGCGCTTGACGCCGACTCGGAGGCCGCACCGGTCAGGCGCGCAGCCGGAGAGATAGGGAGGTGAGTGAGTGAGTATTCTTGATACGAAACCACGACGACACACACCAGTCGACTCGCATCGGTTGCCTCCATGAACGGCGGAGACACACACACACACACACATAGGGGAGGTGTTCAACCACCCATCTTTTCTCTCTGGATGCTGACTCGACCGGACGTGCTGCGCCTTTTAGGTCGAGATGATGTGGATGATGATCAAAAAGGCCGACCCGGCCGTTTTTGTCGTGGCAACGGGAGTGACAAACAGGGGGGCCAGCCCCGCTTGGCACCCTTACTCCGGTGGTAATAACCACCACCTTTCACTTAGCCACCTTTTTGGCCCCTTCCCCCCCCCCCCCCCGCCCCGCCCCGCCCCGCCCTCCCTCTCCCGTGCCCCCCCTACCCCCCCTACGCCGCCCCCTCCAGCCCCTCCCCCTCCCCCCACCTCGCCCGCAGGTTCGCTACTTCATCGAGCTCGCCTTTGCGGCGGCCCCTGTGGGCATCACCATCGAGTGGCAGGGCGAGCGAGTCGGCGAGAGGAAGACCAGCCTGCCCGGAGCCCTCCCTCTGACCCTTCTCGGAACCTTCCTGTGTAGGCGAGGGCGTCGACGAGATCGGCGTCGACGCGGTGGGGATGCCTAGCCGCGGAAACAAACCTGCCCTGTGCACTCACACTTGCGGGCCACCGTGCCGCACGGAGCACGGCGCGAACCACACGGGGCCCGTTCCACACTGTGCTCTCGAATGCGTGGCCACTCCGTACGAGGCAGCGCGGCGCAGCGCAATACGCCACGCGCCATTCACCGTACTCCCCCCTCCTCCGTTTGATTGCGGCAGGCGGACAAGTCGCGCGTCCTGGTGCGGATCGACCCGAAGTACGTCCGGCCGACTGAGGTCGAGCTGCTGATCGGAGACCCGGCCAAGGCCAAGGAGAAGCTCGGCTGGGTGCCCAAGATCCCGATGCAGGAGCTCTGCAAAGAGATGGTTGCCTCCGACATCGCCCTTGTCGAGAAGGGCGACCTCACCTCGTGAGACCACCTTCCGTGCGCGCGAGATTGCATGTGAAAATCATGGTGTAATGGGACGTACATCTCTCTCTTGTGTGACCGTCTGCTGCTACTGCTTTATCTCTTGGTCCCCCCACTTGCTGCGCGTGGTGCCGAGTGCGAGTCGCGAGTCCGAGTGCCGACGGCCCGAGAGCGCGCGGCGCTCAGGCCACAGGCGGTCGTGACGGGGTGGGTCACCACTGGTCCAGTGCGTGCGGTCGATCGAGCGCGTGTGAAAAGGGCGTGTGTTATCCTATATGTCTTTTAAAAATGCGAAATATAAACAATAAAAAAACATAGAGTTAAGACTCTCTCGCTAGGACACACATGGGCAGCTCTGTCCATCTTTTCGGCGCGAGTGCCGGGAGACGACCCGCAGTGCACACATAGAGTCAGAGAGACGCGCGCCCCCGCGCTTCTCTCGTCTCCTCCGACTCCAAACCCATCCCATCAAATCACGGACAAGACAGAACGCGCACCACACGAAGACACAATAGGAAACAGGAAAGTAGCTCTCGCCTACAACCTCACACATCGACCTCCTCCGCGGCGAGACGACCAACCCGCGAGCGCACTATCGCTCTGCAGGGCCCTCATCCTCACCGCCCCCCTCGCCCTCCGTGGCCGGCGCGATCCCGTCGACCAATTCCGGTCCCGGCGCGGCAGAGTCCGCCTCATAGAGAGACTCGAGCATGGCGCGAGCCTCGTTGGCGCCTGGACCTTGAGGGGGGCGGGAGGGGGGTCACCTTTGGGTTTGGGAGGGCTGGGAGGGCCGGGAGGGGCGGGAGGGGCGGGAGGGGCGGGAGGGGCGGGAGGGGGGGGAGGGGGGGGAGGGGCGGTGGCAGCGCGCACCCAATCCCGGCTGTTGACTCCCAAACGACGCACCGCTCTGCGAGGCGCCGTCCGCCCCGCCGCCGCCGTCCGCCCCGCCGCCGCCGTCCGCCCCGCCGCCGCTCGCGCCGCCGCTCGCGCCGCCCTCGGGCACAGCAGCGTCGGAGCTGGCGGGGGCTGCTGAGCTGGCGGGCCCTGCTGGCGGTGAGGCGGCGCCGGGAGAGGCGGCTGCGCTCCCGCTCCCTCCGCCGCTGCACGAGAGTCCGAGGCTGCTCGGCGCCAGGGTCGGCGCGCCTCTGCCCTGCGAGTCTGGCTCCATGGGCGCCCCGAGCGACGCCTCGCCGTCGTAGACCTCGACCACCTCGTCCACGAGGCAGACGTCGAGTGGGTCGAGCCCGTCCCCGTCCTCGTCCCCGTCGCCGCCGAGCGGGTCCGGGTCGATGTAGTCGAGCACCTCTTCGAGCAGCAGCTGGCGCGGCTTGGGCGCCGCGCCGCCGCGCTCAGCGAGCGTGGCACGGCAGCGGAGCGCGGCGGCCTCTTCGCGGAAGCAGACGACGGAGCGGGTCCCGTTGAGGGAGAGCGAGAAGAAGAAGGCGTCGCTCGTGTGCGCGTCGTACGTCAGCACCCAGACAGAGTCCTCAAGCGGGTCTGGGTAGTCCTCCGCCTGTGGCGGTGCGCGAGGACACCGTAACGACGAAAGGAAAGACGCGGGCCGTCGGACGCAGCGAATGCGACTGCGACGCAGCCGAGGACAGCCGAGCCAGCGTGTCTTCTAGCGCGCTGGCCAGAGTCCCCAGGACCCGTGTTCCGCATCTAGGGCCCTCCGCCCGACGGTCGGCATAAAGCTCGTCCGGCACCATCGTGAAGGACACGGCGAGCGGCGGCGGCGGCGGCGGGACGCCCATCGAGATGTAGGGCGAGAGCAGCTCGCCGGCCGACGCGGCGGCGCCGGGGCCCGCGGGGAGCAGGTCGCCCCGCAGCACGAGCGCGACGCGGAAGTGCGCCTCTCGTGAGGAGACGACCAGAGCCTCGAGATCGAGTGCCTGGATGCTGGGCTCTCCCTCCTCCAGCTCGTGGATGACGGAGGCGGCGTACGCCTTCGCCTCCTCCTCGTCCTCGAAGGCGACCACCGAGTGCACCGGCTTTCGAGACGCCTCCGCCTCCGCCTCGTCGGGCGGCAGCTCAATCGAGTAGACAGCCTCGTCTTCGGTATCTGGGTCGAAGACGAGCACAAATGCGTGCGGAATGGAGCCCAACCGGGAGAGGAGCGCGTCGTTCGCCTGCACCTCACGCATGCGGCATCGCAGCTCCTCCATCATCGGCGCGTCGGAAAGCTCGTCGTCGTTGCCCTCGGCATCGCCGGACGGCGCAGACAGCAGCACACTAGCCCGCAAGCCGGGCACAGCGGGATGCCGGCTGACGCTGGCCCGCAAGCTGGGCACAGCGGCAGGGCCGGACAGCAGCAGCGCTGGCGCTGGGACAAGGAATGACAGGATCAGCAAGGCCGCGGAGCAAGGCCGCGGCGTGAAGGTGCACCCGCCCGACGACATGGGCATTGTGATTCCCCAAGGCTTTTTCTTCCTGCCCCTTAATTTGGGCGTCTCCCGCCTTACTCCCAGCCCGGCATCTCTCTCGTCGTGCACTCAGAGTCTGTTGTGTTGTTGACTGCCAGTGAGAAGCTGGAGGAAGGTCGCCAGTGGAGATGAAACCGCAGTGGAGTTGTGGATGGAGTCCGCCAGTCCGCCGAGCACGGGGGAGGGGGCCACGGGACGGCTCCCTCGCCCCCCGCTGCGGCACGGGCCGTGGCGCCTCGCAAGGTCTAGCGGCGGGCGGGCAGTGGTGTGGCAGTGTGGGATGCACAGGCCTGACCATGCTCCGAGGCGTTGTTCCCTACCGCTGTGTGCTGCGGCATTCTGAAAGACCTCCTGTGACATAAGCAACAACAAACACAAACTCTCTCAACTCTCTCTCTCTCTCAAGCACAAGCAGGATCCATGGTTTACCCCTTGTGGGCTGACTTGACAACATGACAAGGTAACGGGAATGATCAGAATGGCGAGGCCCGGAAAGCGGAATGCGTTCTCAGAACGTTCAGAACACCGGCCACTGGGCCAGAACGTTCTCCCGGTATCCGCGGCGGGATATGGCGGGATATGGCGGGATATGGCGGGATATGGCGGGATACCGGGAGATACCGGGAGATACCGGGAGATACCAGGAGATACGAGATACGGGCAGATACGGGCAGATACGGGCAGATACGGGGAGATGCGAGGAGATGCAAGGAGATACGGGGAGATACAGTCAGATATTGGAGAGATACATCAAGATACCGCAAAAAAACCGTCCACACTAGGACTACGGGTCAACTCCGTGAGGACCATAGATCACGTGCATCTTGTCGTAGCCGGAGGCAGGGGATGTCGACGTGAAGAGCAAGACCAAGAGGTGAAGCTAGAGAAAAATTAAATATTCTTAGTTTCGCCCTTGCCTCCGACGCTAGAGACAGTCACCACGGATACATACGTCCGTGGGAGTGCCCCCCTCCCCCACCTGCCCTGCTTACACAGGATAGCATGCCCCGAGAAGCAACGGCGGCATTTGGCGGGGGAAACCAGGGAAGGAGGTTCGGTTTCGAGTTCGGTTTTTGCTTTTTTCTTTGTGCTCTCGGGGGAATGTTCTCTCGGCGCCCATGGCCTTCTGAGGTTTCGTACTAATGACGTCCTTCTTGGCACTTCGGGCGTTGGTGCGTGCGTATCTGTGGTTTCATATTCCCCCGGTATTCTATATAGGGTTCGAACGGCCACCTCCCTTTCACTCGCAGCGATTCCTTGCTGGATACCTTTCCGCAAGCGGAAGGTCGCCAGTTCGAAACCTGCTTTGACCCTTATATTTTTTCTCACCTGAGCGGGCTCAATTTTGCTCTACCGTAGAGGCTCTAGGTGCCTCCTACGATTCGATCCCGCGTTCTCAGGCAGTCGCCTGGTGCGTTGTTCGTTTTCGTCACGGGAGTGTGTTGTTCAGAGGTGAAGCTAGAGAACCTATACGTACTACCTACCGACGACGTCGACGAACACCCCCAAGTCCCAAGAAACGTGCAACGATGAACGAAAAAACACCCCGCCGCCCCCCGGCTCGCGCGCCCTGCTAATTTTTTTGCGAAACCCGCTACTATCCCTCATAGAAATCACCTTCAAGCAGCGTGCGTCTTCCACCTGCTATGGGTGATACAAAAATATCATCCATCCTTCGTATCGTGTCGGCAGTTGGGGTCCTCGGCTCCTCGCCCGCTGGCAGCGAAATTGCGGGTGTGACCGCAGTGATTTGGTGGTGTCATCCCCACCACAACCCAAACGCCGTTCCAGACTCAGGACGTTTCCGCCCTCCCTGGCGCCGCAGGCGCCGCGCCTGGCGCCCCCGCGCCGGTGTAGGCAAACGACTCGAGCGGCGGCGCGGCGCCCAGCGCCTGCGGCGGCGCATTCTCCGGCGACGGCGCCTTCTTCGGAGCCGCGGGCCGCCGCCCCCTGTGCGCATCTGCGAGCCGGGCGGAGGGGGGCGCCGCGTATGCGAAGCGGTCGAGGCTGCTCCCCACCGCCGCCGCCGGCGGCGAGGCGTAAGCGGCGCTAGCCTCCTCGCCGCCCGCCGCCTCGTCTGCGCCGACGTCCGAGCCGCTAGCCGCAGGGCCGCCGCCGACGGATGCGCCCCCTGGGCCGCCGCCGCCCGCCGGAGCGGCCCTCCGATCGGCCGCTGGAGAGGCCGAGGCCGCCGCCCACGCCGCGCCAGAGCGTGAGGGGAAGAAGCGGCTGCGCTTGGGGGCTGCGGGCGCGGCGTCCGCGGCTGGCGCGGGCTGCCTTCGGATCGCAACCTTGGACGGGTCCTGAGGGGGCAGGCGGGGGAAGGGGGGTGGGCGGGACGAGGAGGCGGGAGCGAGGCGCGAGGGGAGCGGCGCGGCGTACGGCATGCGGCGCGGGAGTCAGGCACGCGGGGCTGGCTCATCAGTCATGGATCGAACAGGCCGCGGGGGCGCGGCCACCTGCGACGGCAGCTTGAAGGCCTTGCGGGCACCGGCCGTCTTGTGGACCGCAGCGCTGTGCATGTACCGCGAAAGCGGCGCCTGCTGCGGCACTGCGACGGGCGCGAGGCCAGTTGGCACAGGCGCCTCGCTGCCGCCCGCGGCGGCGTCGCGCGGCGGGGCGCCGCTGCCCGCCAAAGGCGCGAGCGGCAGGTGCGTGTCCGGGTGGATGTCGCCACGCTGGCAGAGTGCGATGGCGACGTCCCGCGGCAAGTCGGCGCCGCAGTGGGGCATGGGGACGGGCGCCGCGCCGTCAGCGGGAGGCGGCGGCGGCGTGAGTGGCACCACGGCCTGCATGTCGGGGTCGTAGACTCGCTGGTGGAGAAAGGTCTCCCTCGCCTCGCGCAGCCTCGCGAGGTAGCTGTCCCACCCGCCGGGGGGCGCCTTTTGGTGGTCCATCTGGCGCACCTTTGAGAGGGGGGGAAGGGGGGGGGGGGGTTTGTTGGCGGAGGGAGGGAGAGAGCGGGGCGGAGGAATGGAGGGGAGAGGGCGAGGGAGGGCGCGGGAGAGGGGAGGGGAGAGGGGGGGGGGAGAGGGAGAGAGCCCATCTCTGGCGCGGCGAAGCCTTGACAACCGCCTCGGCGTTGCCGTGCGCCTTGAGCGCCCTGTGCGCGCCCTTGATCGCGAGGCCGGGCAGTGAGGCGAGGTAGTCGCAGCCGGCGAGGATGCACAAGTCGAGCAGCAGCCCGCCGTCCCACAGGCTCCACGGCGAGAAGAGGCGCGACTGCTCGGCGCGGTCGCCACGCGCCGCGGGGTCGGTCAGCTCCTGGAGGCGCTCGCGGCGGAGGAGGCGGCCGTTCCCGCTGCCGTCCATCTTGAAGAGCACCGCCGGGCAGCCAAAGGGCACCATGTCCGAGTCCTCCGCCACGACGAGCTGGACGTGGCCGCGGGTCGCGAGCAGCGCGAGCTGAGCGTCCGCCTCGTAAGGCGCGACGTAGTAGGCGATGTTGTGCCTCCGGCAGGCGAGGATGAGCTGGTGGGCGTGCTCGGGCGTGATGTCGATCGCCTTGGCGAGCTCGTCCCTCCAGCCCGGCGCGTTGGACTTGAGCATCTCGTTGGCCTCGCGCCGGTGGCGGTCGCGGGAGGCACGGCGCGACGACTCAGTGGCGGCCTTGGCGGGGAGCGCCGCCCCGTCGAGGACGAGGACGGGCTCGACGCCGTTCTCGCGCATCAATTTGAACTTATTGACGCAATAGTCGACGTGCGCGGTCGTGTGGAAGCCGTTTGCCAGTTCGTTGACGCAGGTGTGTGCGGCCTTGTGCAGCCAGGCATACCCGTCGATCGCGGCCTTCTTCCCGGTGTACCGGGAGATGTGCGCGTCCTCCATCGCGTCGTCGAGGAAGGGGAGGAGGCTCGGAATACCCATGCGTCACCCGACCGGGTCGATGGCGGTTTTAGAGGCGGGGAAGAAAAAGAATTCAGCGTCACAGCCCGCACGAGCGCGAGAACCAGGCCGAGGAGAGTGAGAACTGCGAGGAGAGATAGGTAGGAAAAGGTGGACGCCCGAGGGTGGTCGACGGCTAGCACCACACTCCTCTCCTTAAAATCCCTGTGTGGCGGCGTGCCGCCGTCCTCCCCTCCCTCCCTTGGGTTGTCTGGTTTTCTTTCTTTCTTTACATCCTTCATCAATCTCTCTCTGATGAGTCCCCTGCGATAAACAGGTACCCACGCGGAATCGACCCTATCCAGTGCTCAAGTGCTCAAGGACAAGGTAACCACCACACGTCACACCCGGTGTTGCGCGAGAAAAAGAATTCACGTCGCCTTCTTTTCCTTCCAGATCCTGCTTTAAAATCCCTTTGTTTGAGAGAGAGGGGAGTGGCGGCGTGCCGTCCTCCCATCCCTCCCTTACTTGGGGGCGCGTGGGTTTTCTTTCTTTCTTTCTTTCTTCAAGATCCTGCTCGTGCAGGTGGGGACCCTGTCCTTCTTCTCCCACCCTCGCTTGGCGTTTCCGTTTTATTCATTAATACGTTGATAACAACGTACGCGAAGGTCACGTTGCTCACATATGCGGTCACAGTGAAAACACAGTCAATCGCGCCACTCCGCTCAACGCCGGATGTAGAGCTCCACTCTCGCGCTCAAGTCGTGCTCAAGTTCTCTCCACAGCGCTCTCCAGCGCGCTCTGCATCTCTACAGCTCTACACCGCCTCTACAGTGCTCTACAGCTCTACACTCTACATCCTCTCACCCCCTCCCTCACCCCTCAGCTGGACGCCTGGACCTGGACGAGCGGGACCGCTTCACTTGCCCACCAACATCTTGCGCGCGGCACAAAGGCAGCGGCCGCTAGGGCGGCCGCAGCGAGCGAGGAAAGGGGCTCGACCACCTATCGGGAGCGAGAGAGAACGAAGAGAGCGAGTCGGAGAGTGCAAGTCAGGTGCAAGTAAAAGAGAGAGGGAGGTCAGGAGGGTCTTACACACACCTATATACCTCACACCTGAGACCCCCCCCACGCGGCGCAATCTCTATCGGTCCTCAGTACGACGCATGTGCGCACGCGACGCTCATCGTGACGTGTGTGTGCGCGTCCACACAATGTCCATATCTTTCCACCACCGCGAAACGTGCGACGCACCGCAGCTGCGCACCGGCCGTTTTCTCGCTCTCCGCCAAGAGATACACCCGAGGAGCCACACGCTCTCCGCCCACCGCCACAAGTCGCTCTCTGTCGCCTAGCATTGTTCCCTGCTCTCCGCGGCCGGCACGAGCCGTGCCCGAAGCCGGAAACTCAGAGCTCATCGTGCTCCTTCTCCTCCTCCTCCTCGCCCCCCGCCTCGGCCGCCGGCAGTGGCGGCAAGCCCGCCTCCTCGCGCGCGGCAGCGAGCATCGACGCGTCGCACGCCGCAGGCGTGGCGAACACCAGCGCGTAGGTGCAAACCTCCGGCTCGTCGACGGAGAGGACGACGTTGGCCTCGCCGCACTGCACCGAGACGCGCGCCTGGAGGCGGCGACGGCGCCGGCGGTCGGGGCGGCGGTGGGTGCGGCGGCGTCAGCGTCGGGCGCGGCGCGGTGGGGGGCTTCGCGGCGCAAGCGGAGGGGAGCGGCGGTGCTGGGGGCGTGGGCCTTGCGGCCGGTGCCCGTCGCCCAGCAGTGCGACCCGCCAGAGAAGGTCATGACGCCGTCCTCCCACTTGTCCCAGTTGCCCAGCCCGACGCTGCCCGGGTCCTGCGAGGCGCGGCCCGAGTGTGGGAGGGAGCGTGCGGATGGGGCGCGTCTCTGGCACATGGCGAACGAGGGGCCTGCGAGGCGCGGTCAAAGGGGCAGAGCTTGTACGAAAACTCGCCGCCTGGCGCGTAGTCGAAGCACTCGCCCTTGAGCGCAAACCACTCGCCGTCTGCGCCAAAGTAGTCGGCGCCGAGCAGCTTCTGCGGCGGCGGCGGCGTGTGCGGCCGTGAGGGCGGCTGCGGCGAAGGCGGTGGCAAGGGGAGCTCGTGCCTCTACGTCTTTGATGCTCCTCTCCGCATCGCGCACGGCGTCCAAGGCGCGCCGGTGCTCGCCGCGCAGCCGCTCCGCCTCTGTGGGGGCGGGTGGGGGGGACGGGTTAGCGACGGCCCTGCTTGAAGGGTCGGGGAAGGGGGGGGGGGGGGTGATCCGAGGCATGACGGGGAGATGGCGAGGACCGGTGGGGGGGCGCTCTTCGGGTCGCGCTCCCCTCCCCCTTCCCCCCTGGGGGGCACCTGGATGGACAATCCCCTTCGCTGCTTCCCCCCCCTTCGCTGCGCGGCCCCCGCCCGGCAAGAGCGCCAGCGCGGCTCTAGAGAACGCTGCCACCGCCCCACCGACGGCCCCAGGCAGCGAGTGCAGCCACGCAAGGCTGACCGCGAGCCACCCGCGCTTGCCAGCACGACCTCCTCCTACTCCTCAGGATTGCGATCGGTGAAGAGCGGTGCCCGACAACACGAGCAGCGGCGGCGTAGGAGCGGCGGCGCGAAGCGCCAAGGGACGACGCGCGAGGACGAGGCTACTGGGACGGCTCCCCGGGGCTCTGGCAGGGTGGAGGTGTGGTTTTGAAGGAGGGGGGGGGGGAGGGGGCGGAGGTCTGCACCAGGGTCTGTAGGGAGCCCCTCGAGCCTCGCGCTCTCGGCGGCGTCGCTCGAGGCTCCGGCGGTGTAGTCCTCGGCGTGGTCGTCGTCGTCGTCGTAGCCGCGCCGGTACTCGTCCTCCTCGCCGCCACCCTCGCCGTACTCGCCGTCGGGGTAGTCGGCCGCCGCGCCCTCGTCGCCGTGCGGGTAGCTGTCCCCTCCCTCGCCAAGGTCGTCGCCGTCGTGCGGGTACGTCTCGTCGTCCTCGCCGTGTGGGGGGTAGTCGTCCTCGCTGTGCGGAGGGTAGTCGTCCTCGCCGCCCCCGCCGTACTCGTGGCTGTCGTGCGGGTAGTCGTCCTCGCCGTGCGGGGGGTAGTCGTCCTCGCCGCCCCCGCCGTACTCGTGGCTGTCGTGCGGGTAGTCGTCCTCGCCGTGTGGGGGGTAGTCGTCCTCGCCGCCCCCGCCGTACTCGTGGCTGTCGTGCGGGTAGTCGTCCTCGCCGTGTGGGGCGTAGTCGTCCTCGGGCAAGGAAGACGCATCAGGGTCCACCTGCGTCAGGCGAGCGAGACGAGCCCCCACACAGTTAGGGCAGGGCAGGCGTCTGCTCCCCCCCCCCCCCCCACCCCCGTCTCCCAACCCCCGGCGTCTCCACGTCCCAAGACGGGCAAGAGCCGCGTGGGCATTCGAAGTGTACAGCGGGTTGGCCCGCCTCCGGCTCGGCGGGATCCGCGGCCGGGTCGCTAGCCGCCTGTAGGCGAGGGGTGGGGTGGGTGGGTCAGCGTCTCCTCACGCCAGTGGGGGCAAAGGGCAAGCCCCGGTGCGTGAGGTGAGCAGTGAGTTGTTTGCGAGCGAGCGTGCGTGCGCGCTGTGCGAGTCGGTGTGCGCGAGTGCGCGCAGGCTCGGCGCCTCCGCCTCCGCGGCGGGCGCCGCGCCGAGAACGCCGTAGCAGCCCCACTTGCCGGCGGTTGGGCCGCACTCGGGCGCTGGCGGGCCGCACGTCTCGCAGTGCGTGCACAGGGCGGTGTCGCTGCAGGAGGCGCAGTAGCACGGTACGGCGGACGCCTTGCCCGCTCTCTGCTTGCAGTCGCAGTCTTCGGCCATCACCTGCGGCGAGCGGCGAAGCGGTGGTGGGCGGTGGCAGCCATGGCCCGCCCCGCCCCCGTGGCGGCGATGGCGGTGGCAGCGGAGGCGGTGGCAGCGGAGGCGGTGGCAGCGGAGGCGGTGGCAGCGGAGGCGGTGGCAGCGGAGCTCGGCGGCCAAGGAGAGAGGTGGTGCTGGTGGCGTCGGCAGTGGCGGAGAAGAGAGATGCGGAGCAGGCGGCGGTGGCGGCGGCGAGGGTGGCGACGGCGAGGCTGGCGGCGGCGGCGGTGGCGGTGGAGGCCAAGAGCCGCCGGGGAGAGTCACGAGGGGCGAGAGTCCGTCGGTCACGGTGCGTCGGTGAGTCGGTCGAGGAGGCGAGACGCACCTCGGGGGGGCACGCGCCATCCACGATGAGCTCCTCGCACTCGCCGCGGTACCCCGACGCCACCGCGTGGCAGCGCGAGCCGAACTCTTTCCCTCCTCCCCCCGGACCGAGCGACCCGCCGACGCAAACCGTAGAAGCCACCGCGGTCGCCGCGCCGTCGGCCGCGGCGTCCGCCGCGGCGCCCACCGCCTCGCCCGCCGCCTCGCCCGCCGCCTCCCCTCCGCCCTCTGCCTCTGCAGCCGCCGCGTCCCCGCTGTCCTCGTCGTCGTCGTCGCCAAACAACGAATTCTCTTCCTCCGCCGCCGGCTCCGCCTCGGTCGGGGGCGGGCACGCGGCGAGCGCCTCGGGGTCGGGGCTGACCTCGGCGGTGCACCGCTCGAGGAGCGCGCGCGTCGCGTTGAGCGCGGCTTCCTCAGCCGCCCTTCGCTCCGCCTGCGGGTGAGGCCGCGCCGCGGGTGAGAGGCGAGTGAGTGAGAGGCGACTGCCTCCGCGCGTTCGCGGACGGTGGCGGGCAGAGGGAATGCGCGATTGCTCGTCGCAGAGGCAGAGCGAGCGCTCGCGCGCCTCCGCGGCGGCGCGTGCCGCCTCCTCCACCTCCTTGCGCTTCCGCTCCTCGTCCTGCATCGCCCGCTCGACCACCTCCGCCGCCTCCTTCTGCTCCTTGAGCGCCGCCTCTGACGCCTTTGCCTCCTCGAGCGCCGTCTTCTTCTCTGCTACCTCCGACGCCCAGCCGCCCTTGGCCGAGGCGTACTTGGCGACGTACTCTCTGCGCGCCGCGAGGCCGCGCTCGACGGCGGCCGCGCGCTCCGCCGCCGCGGCGCGGAACGCGGCGCCTTGCGCCTCGCACGCGTCTTGGCAGGTGCCGGCCACGCTCTCATCCGAGCCGTCGCAGCAGTCGCAGATGCCGTCGTCGACACGCGACGCCGGGAGGACCCGAGGCTTGAAGCCGACGTTGGCGCAGTAAAAGGCGCCGAGCGCGCAAGCCGAAGTGCCCGGCTCATCCGAACCATCGAGGCAATCACAATAGTCATCGTTGACGCGAGCTGAGGGCATCTCGGCGCCGCCATCTCGGCAGCGGAAAGTAGGGCCGTTAAAGGAAGGGCGCGCATCGGCGGACACGCCGCGCAGCGCCTCGGCGGACACGCCGCGCAGCGCCTCGGCGGCCGACGCAGGCCAGACCAGCGACAGGAACATTGCTGTGCTGAGGTGTCGCCGCAACAAAAAGATTCTTTTTCCTTCGCTGCACGCGATGGCGGCAAGCCCTCGTGCACGCCCGCCCTCGACACGCCGAAGACCAACCGGCGACGGACCGCGGTGAGACCGCGCCGCCCTCCGCGCCCGCCCGCGCCCGCAGCGTGACACATGCGCGCGTCCCTCTCCGCACGGAAACTTGCGCGCCAGCCGCGCAGCAGCCTCACATGCAGCGCGCATTGGCATGCTCGCCCCCTGGGCCGCCGACGGCCCGGTCGAGCGGGCTGCGCGGCCGCCGCACACCATCAGGCAGGCGCACGACCACCTGCAGCACGCCGCAGCCCACCGCGCAGCCCTCCCAGCCAAGGCTGCGCCTCACAGCTACACAAACAGGGCGCACAGCAGAGCACAGCGCATAGCACACGCCGACGCGCGCGCAGCACACGCAGACTCACGCGCGAATCCAACACGCACACGCGCACAGCACGCGCGCATCGCACGCCAGCGCAGCGCTGCACACAGAGCACACTAGACCATACCAGTGGTACTGGTACCATCGCCTCTTGCACTTTCGCGGCCGTCCTTTGACGTCCGTGAACACAGGGATTTCAGAGAGAGACTTTAGAAATCTCTCTCTTGGGATTTCACGGCAAGGAAGGAGTGTGGTGCTAGCCGTCGCCCACCCTTGGGCGTCTGCAGCGACCTTCATACCGTCCCCGTGTTTTTCTTTTGCGCGACCTCTGCCGCATTCCCGCCGCTTATGCCTCTTGTGACCTATCCCGGCGGCCAGCGAGAGCGTGACATCTACCTCTACTGGTGGGACGAGCGCGACGGGGACGCGTGGAGTGGCTGGTGGGTCACGCCAGACTTTCCCGGCAACGAAGAGTTTATTCTCCATGGACCTCGCGACACAAAGCATCCCGCTGACCTTGCCGTGGGCGAATGGCGCAGTCCGCTCGTAGAGCAGCAGCAGCTTAAGCGCTCTCTCGGGCTCGGCTTCACGCAGCAGAGCGGTTCGGAGGCGCTGCATGCCGAGGGCCCGGCGAGTCAGCCAGAGCCATGCCACCGCTATTATGCGCGCAGCCTGACAAGGCCCCACCTCCCGCAGGATGCCGAGACCAATATCATCCCAGACAATGCCTCGATCTACATCTTTGCGAACTACGTCTGGATACCGGACGGCTTGCACCACTGCAAGCCGAAGTTCAAGGTGTGTGCCCGAGGCACCGGCACTCGTGCAAGACTCGTCCCTGCCCACCGCGCGCACGGGACCTCGCACCCCGACCTTTGCCAAACGCCTGACCTCAAGGCGCGAGACCTGACCGCCGAGGAGAGAGCCCAGCGCAGCGGGAAGGCGGGCGGCGGCGGCGCGGAGGGCGGCGGTACCGTGATACGCGTTGGGCCGCCCGCGCTGGGCGTGCTCGCGCTCCTCGTAGTCGGCGTCGGTCTCGGGGTCGCGCTGTCGAGGCGTTGAGGACTCCTGGACGCTCCTGTGTGTGGTCGCTCGCGACGCGCGCGCGTCTGTCACCCTACATATTTTTCGCATTTCGGGGGGTTGGGACTTGTGAGGTTGTGTCGGGTCGGGCTGGGACTTGCTCCTTCTTACCCATCTCCTAGTAGAAGTGTCCGTTTTGTTGTTTTATTATTTAAACGTGGGGTTGCGCTTGTGGTTGGTCTCGGTGGGACTCGGTATGTTTGCGAACCGGTTTTTCTATAGTCTCTCTTTTACGGCTTTCACCACCACACGCGCACCGACCCGCACGCCGGCCGCGCCGGCGCGTCTCGCTCTCGGGTCTCGCTCCAACTCGGCCCGGAGGGGGAGGGCGGGGGCGCAGGTAGAGGTAGGGCTGGCCTGGGGGGCCTCAGGTAAAGGTAAACCTGTCTCAGACCGCCGGAGGTAGAGGTAAACGGAGCCCAGGTGAGGGCAGGTAAACGTACGCCCGTTTGAACGTGCCCGCCGAGGACCGAGAGGCCCCGCGAGAGCGCTTCGCCTGCGGCGCGCCTGCCCGGCCATGGACCAGGCTTCACCGCCGCTTGCTGACGGCTGATCGCATCGCCTACCGCATCGCGAATGACCAGTGCCGCGACCACTTGGACCTTGCACTGCCTGCCTGCTGACCCGGTGCAAAGAATCTGCGTCTCAGCTCTTCGGCGCATTGATTGTGCATGATTGCTCAAGTGGCTCGAATTGGCAATCCACCGCAATGCGAACATGGATGGAGAGCATATGCAACACGGACGCAGGCTTGCCGTTGGCGACGTCGGTTATCAGAGGGGTCAGGTCATAGACATAGTGACGCGCTCGATGGGATGCTGCATTGACGCAGACAGCAAAAGCATCGCAGCGGAGACCTTCTCAGGAGTGGCGGCTCGCACCATGCGGCAGTGCGGACACTAGGTGCGCGAATTTAAGAGCCATTTTCGATTACGTGGTTTTGGCACTGTCTACCAACTTTGGTACAAATCGACTTGGTCTGGGCACAGCTGAGCCCGGCGCTGCCTCCATTCTGAAAGTGTATAGAAGGGAAGGCAGCATGTCAGGCTGCGAGCTCTGCTGTGCGCCGAAGAGCGGTATGGCGCCGAGGAGGCCATTTTCCTAGAAAAGGCTGTCGACATCCAAAATTTTCCTCGCTGCCCAACCATGCTCCATGGTGGGCACGCAGCGCGGGGCGCCTGCGGCGCCCATTTTTTGAAATGTCTGCCACTCACCTAAGCGGCTCTCAGAAACACTCGTGCGGCTGCGCAATTTATGCTCCCTTCTCGGCGAGTGAAAATCGCAGATTATGTTGTATCGATAGATCTCAACATCTCGAGATCACTCGAGACCACGTCTCGCGAGAGAGTGAGAGATCTACACTCGCCTCTCGCGCGGCGAGAGAGAGATCCTCGAGGCGAGATCACGCACAGGTTAATCACGGCTACGTCGCTCACAGAGGTAGAGGTAAAGGGCCCACGGCTGCCCAGAGGTAAAGGTAAGGGCCGCAGGCCTTCAGAGGTAGAGGTAACCTAGACCCCTCCTACCCGGCCCCCGGTTGCGCTCCGGCGTCGCGCGCCCGCGGCGTCCGGGCGCGGGCCGATCCAACAGCGAGAGCGAACAGCAACAGGTGAACACGGAACAGAGAGGCTCCACACCCCACTCTCCCACGACACGTTTGCGCGCCCGCGCGCGATGAAGTTTAAGTAGTATTGTGTATCTGAGAACCTGCGCGCGCCAGTGCTTTTTGAATGTATTCAACGCCAAAGTTGTACTCTCTAAGTACAATACTCCGAGGGCTGCCGCCGAGCGACACTCTATCAGTGAAATGAACGCGGAACGGCGGAGCGGCCTAGGGAGCGGCAGCAAGGGGGGGCCGCGGAGACCAGCCTCACGCCTCGGGGGGCGTCAACACTCGCCGCTGGGGGAGGGGAGACGCGGCATGCAAATGTGCCAACGGCCTATCGTCGTCCGGCAAAGCGAGGGTGCGGCGCAGAGGGGACGCTCACGGCTCGATGCCGATAGGAGGCCTCAGCTCCTTGAACTCGATGCCAGCCCACCGGCACTCGGAGGGGTTGGGGTAGTAGCCGAGGAGCTTGTACTCGTTGATGCGGTAGCGGCCGAGGTACGACATCAGGAAGCCGAGCGCGCCCGCGTAGAAGAAGGTGGGCCGCCGGATCGGCTTGCCTGCAGCGCGCTCGGAAGGGTTGGCGCGCAGCGGTGCGTGGGGAGGGAGGCGCGCTGTTGAGGCGGAGGGCGACACGGAGGGCGCGCGGGCCATCGCGCGGTGGCGCGGTGCTCACCGATCGCAAAGCCGACACCCGCGCTGAAGGCCGTGAAGCTGGTCACCCAGAGCCAGTCGCCGATGCCAAAGTTGCGTGTGACGGCGCCGACCGTCGGTGAGGCGTTGATTGTCGGGAAGCGCGGCGGGACCATGATCGGCATGGTTGCCGAGCGCTTTTGGCGAGGGTGCGCGGAGGCGGCGGTGCAGCTGTGAGCCCCCACTCGAGAAGAATTCACGTACCCCAAACAACTCCCTCGCACCACACAGGTTCGACACAGGTACCAAAAGAGGCAGAGAGAAGAAGGAAACGGGGGTGCGATGCGGCGCTCTGCACCCTTACAAACAAGCGATCCCACCACGACAGCGATTGTGGGGACTTCTTGATTCGTACGTGAAGGGTGGAGGGGCCCGTCCGAAGATCTTGGCGGGCATTGCTGGAAAAAGAAGAAACTCCGCGCGATATCCGGCAGAGAAGAAATGCGTTAACGCGCACCGGGGTGTAACACACATATGTCCGGCATCGACTTCGCCGCGCTCCGTCGCGAGCGCGAGGCTCGCCAAGGTGCCCCTTCGTCGGCTGCCACTGCCGCCTCTTCAGGGAGCACCACCGACGTCACCTCCGGAGGGCGGCGGCTCGACGGCGTGGAGGTGGAGCTGTCACCCGCTGCTGAGCGTCAGGCTGGGCCAGTGATCTACGTCGGTGGCGCGTGCAAAGACGCATCCGGACACCACGCGCTCCGACCAGCCGCGGTGCCGCCTTCGGCGGTGGAGGTGGACTGCCGCAAGTCGGGCACCGAGGTTCGCGTGCGCGGCAATGTGGCCACGCTCACCGCGGGCCTCGGTAGCCTGCACGACCGGAAACCAGCTTCCGACGCCGAATGCGAGAGGGTGGTCGAGTTTCTGCAGCGCGATGCTCGGGCGATCGACGCCTCACTCCGGCGAGGCGAGTCGGTCTGGGTCCACTGCGGTGCGGCTCTCATCCGTCTCTTTTTGCCCGCGCTCCCTCTCTCACTCGCCATCCCCGCCTGAGCAGCGCAAGGGTTCAACCGCGGCCCGAGCGGCCTGCTCGCCTACCTCCTCCTCTACACCGACGCCTCGTGGGACGAGGCGTGCGGCGCGCTCAAGGCGGCACGGCCGAGAGCGCGCGGGCGGCACAACACTTTCCGGCAGCAGCTTGAGCAGCTCGCCGACGGGCCAAAGGCGAACGTGCTGCTCGCCGACCACCGCTCGCTCGACATCCGTGACGGCGGGAATGACCCGTGCGACGACGACCGCCGCTAAATTGCGGCGGTCTGGGCTCACCTTACAGGTGCGGCGCGGTTCGACAGTCCCCACATTCTCGACAAACGAGAGGCTCAGACTGGGTCGAGCTCGAGGCTCGACCAGGCTCGAGCGTTTTGGGCGTTGCTCACGCCACAGTATGCGCGCGATGCCCGGAGGTATGGGCGAGCGGCGAGACGCTGATCGACTCTACGGACTCTTGTACCAAGTATCTCCATGTAGGGGAGAGAAAACTTTAGCACACACATGCTCTCGACGACAAAACTCGAGTCGCGACGCGCGCAGGCGGCATGATGTGCGCATGTCGCACCCTTTCATGCTTTCATGGTCGCGGGCTGGGGGCGGCCTGGGCTATAACTGCAAGCCGCCGGTGGCGAATCCCGAGCCAAGTGCGAGCCGCATCGCGCGGTAGCGAGCATAGCCGCCGCGGAACTCGGCGAGTGAGATTTCGCCGTTGCCATCCACATCCAGCTGGTCAAAGATGCGCTCGACGGCCACCGAAGAGTAGCTCGGCCCCTCGACGCCGCCAAGCTTCTCGTGAAGCTCTGCTACCGACAGGCTGCCGTTGCCGTCGAGATCGAGCGCCGCAAAGGCGGCGTCGGCCTCTTCGTACAACGCGGCCATCTCCTTCTCTCCGAGCTCGCCCAGACCTGGCGCCTTGAGCAGCGGCGGGTAGCGCACGAAGCTCTCCCGAAGCTCGTCGCGCGAGACAGCGCCGTCGCGAGGGTTGGCATCCAGCATCTGGTACAGCTCCGCCACGGCTGCCTCTGAGTACCCAGCCGCGAGGAGGTGCGAGCGCAGCTCCTCCTCGGAGATCTCGCCGTCACCGTTACGGTCGAGGACAGCAAAGATCGCATCGGCCTTCTCGTGAATCTGAACGATCTCTTCCTCGCTGTACAGACCGTACGCCGCTGGCCGGCGTCGTGGCGGACCGGTCTCGGTCAGCACCGGCCGGATCCTCGCACGAAGGCGGTACTGCCACGGCTTCAGGTGGCATCCTCGCACGTGACTGGCGCACAGCACCGACGTGCATCCCGCTCGTCCAGCCAGAGAGTTGCGCGCAATAGAGGCTGACTTGAAATTGACGACAAATGCTACCGCGAACAAACCAGTGAGCAAAGGCATTCTTGAGGAGACTCTCGTCAGAGTTCACGCCCTCAGGTCCGTGTGCTCGGCGAGGCCAGCGACAGAGAGGCACACTCTCGGCTCGGCGTGCGAGCTATTCCCAGCTGGTAGCCCCCTTACATCCGGCGCCTGGAGGCAATTCCCTCTCGAGCACCGCAGCTGGCGGCGGCGACATGAGCGGTGACGGCGTGGGTGCGTGGCGGTCAGCATACACGCCAAGAAGAAGAAGAATCTGTCCCGCTTAGCTAAGATAGGCGCCACAAGCGTGGGTGCTCATCTCAGGATACGCAGCTACACGTGTAGGCGCGAGCCTTGCTCAAAGATAAGCGCCCAGACACGAAGACACGTATATGGGCTACCTGGACGCAGACGCGCATCCTCATGTGTGGGCGCTCATCTTAGTTAATACTCGCGTCTACACATGCAGGTGCGTATATGGGCTAGGTGTGCACATGAGGCCTACACGTGTGGGTGGTCATTTTTGACCCACTTTCCGGGGTTTGCCATCTGTGGGTCGGGCTTTTGCTGTGCGGGGTAGGAAGCGGCCGGATGTAAGTGGGGCGGGTTTGCTGCTGCGGGGTCCCCCGCTGTCGCCCGGGGTCGTGCGAGGGGTTGGCACGACCAGTAGGGACCCCCTCCCCCGGGCCCCGCTCTCAGTTGGGGCCTCCGCGGCCGAGTGGGAAATATTGGATGGGAAACGGGTCGATTTGCAAAGTGGGGCGCCGGGCCCGGCCGGGCCCGGGGCTTGCCTCAGTCCCACTGCCAGCCCAGCAGCTCGAGGAAAGGGTCTCGCGTGGGCGCCGAAGAGGCGGCGGCGGTGGAGGCCGCCCGTGAGCGAGGTGCGTAGCCATCGCAGCTCGCCCGCTCCGCGCACAGCACATCGGCGCTCAGAGTCTTCACCGCGTCGCGCAGCTGGTCACGCTCAGCTGTCAGCTGCCGCAGCTGCGCGCGGAGGTACGGCGTCTCATTCGCGGTCGCGTCGGCGGCGTCGGCGAAGGGAGGCGGGCTGCGCCGGATCTCCGGCTGGGGCGGCGCGCCGCCGCCGCCGACGACGACGCACCGTCCTGCGCCCGCGGTGGAGCCGGTCGCGCTGGCGGGCGGGTCGGGGTAGTAGCCGACGCCGCTGTCGCCGCGCTTGAAGACGTACCCCGGCCGGGCGGGCGGCGGCGGAGGGGGCGGCCATGCGGAGGGCGGGGCATCGACGCCGTCGAAGAAGAGCTGGACGGCCACCTGTTCACGGCCGGATGTGTGAAGAGACGCGGCTCACGCGGCGGCGGGAAGGAGTCGCTCTGGGTGCCTCGAGGTTGCCGCCCGCAAGCTCGAGGTAGGAGGCCGCCTGCGGTGGGGTGGAGGGCTTGCGGTGAGGCGTGGGTGGTGCGGCTTGGCTGTGAGCGTGACGGGGTTGGCTGCTCACCTGGGCCGGATCGAGGCCAGTGATTTCGGCGACGCTGCTGGCGACGGAGCCGGCGACGCTGTCGGCTCGAGGCGGCGGCGCGACTCGAGAGCGCTCCTCGCGAAAGGCGACCGCCGACTCGAGCACGCTCACCTCACAGCGCACACGCGGATCAGACCCCGTCTCGACTCTCTAGGCTCTCTAGCGTGCTGGATCAGGCCCTGTCTCGACTCTCGCGTGTTAAGTCTGCGGCGCACCTCTGTCCCTCCGCAGGACCACCGCGCGCATCGCATCGCAGCCTCCGCCACCTGAGGTGGGTTTGCGGCAGAAGGTGTGTCTGCAGGTCGTGTGTGTGTGTGTGTGTGTGTGTGTGTGTGTGTGTGTGTGTGTGTGTGTGTGTGTGTGTGTGTGTGTGTGTGTGTGTGTGTGTGTGTGTGTGTGCGAGTGTGTGTGTGAGTGTGTGTGTGTGTGAGTGTGTGTGTGTGTGTGTGTGAGTGAGTGGGTAGGTGGGAGGGAGGGAGAGAGGGAGGAGGGAGAAAGATTCACCTCGGGAGGTGCATGCGAGAGGGCAGCGCGGAGTGCGGCGGCAGTCGCGAGGACATGCCGCCGGAATGCACGCGCGCGCATGCCGCGCGCCGCCCGCTGGATGAAGGCGCACGCAGCGCAGCTGCGCGCAAACCGAACCACCTGCGCACGCTCGCGCGTGGCGGCCTGCAGCCTGATGGCGGAGGTGCGGCGCTGCGACGATCTCCGCCGCGCTCGGCCGCCACGCGCGAGGCGCTGCATCGTGCGAGCCGCGTCGGTCGCGCGGCGAAGCGTCACTACTGCTTGCCGGCGGCGCGCGGCCGCCTGCACGGCTCTGGCTCGCCGCGTGGCGCTGTTCTCGTTTGGCCGACCCGCCGCTGCGTCAGCCTTGGCCTCTGCAACTTCGGTGCGAAAGAGGAGGAGCAGAGTTTGACGCTGCCGCGCCATTTCCCGCGCCTCAAGCTCGCACACGCGTTGCTGAAGTCTTGCGGCGTCAGCAATTGACATGATCTCGCCAAAGGACTCCTGACTCAGGAGCGAAGACGTGAGGTCGCGCTCGGACGGCGTGAGAGAGAGCGATGGGGGCGTCAAGGGTCCGGGCGGGTCGGCCCACGCGGCAGAGAGGGTCTCGAAGTCCTCACTCATCGTAGCAGACTGCCGGGTGTGTGGACTCGAGCAACGGACGCCCACGCGGCGCAGATTGATGGCCGGTGAAGGGACCGGATTTTTTGCGGGGTGTGGTATGGTAGCGTCGAGAGACCATACCCCCCCGCCAGCTGACAGACGCCAGCCTCCCGCCGACGGGACCCCCCCCCACCCCCCCCACCCCCCCCACCCACCCCCTCACCCCCTCGCCCCACCGCCGGCCGCCTTACTGCTGGCTCCATCCAGGTACCAGGATGGAGGCTGCAGACACCGACACGCACACTAGATACGCGCGGATGGCCGCCGTCTTCCACGCCAGCACCGGCCGGAGGGTGCTCGTCTAGAGCGCGGCGGCGAACTTGGCAATCGCCTGGCGAGCGGCGCGGGCGCGGCACCCCCGCGCCGGTCCGGGCGCACCCGCACCAGCAGGCGCCGCGCCGGCCGTCCCCGTGCGGGCGGCTCCGGTGGCCGCCGCGCCGGCCGCCCCGCAGGCCACCGCACCGGCGAGGTCATCCATCGGCATCGCCGTGCCGGCGGGTGCCTGCCCCCCCTCCAGTGGGTGCCCCCGCTCCGGTGGTCGCCTCGCCGGTGGTCGCCTCGCGGCGGGTTGGCCGGCTGCGCCAGCGGCGCAATCTCGGGGGACTTGTAGTACATTGAGGCGCTCCGCAACCAGAAGGGTGTCGGCGAGTGGAGCGTGGAGCAGCTGCAGCAGCTCCGCGACACGGGCGCCTGTTCCTACCTCATGGCGCTGCGGGCTCGGCGGCAGTAGAGGGAGGGGCCGAGGGACCATACCCCCCCACCCCTGTCGAGGGCTAGTCTTGGGCGGTCAGGACCATACCCCCCCACCCTTTGGGCCGCGACCCTACCATTTTGAACCCAGAGGGGGGGAGTTCTCGAGACCTCGAGAGAGAACGCGGCCCGCAGCTAAAGAGCGCTCGTGGAGATACCCGAAGCGATCCAAGTCCCTCTCCTGCGCCTATTCCTCCGTCCCCTTAGGTACTTACTTCCTTACAAGGTACTGCGATTGGGCTAGCCGCTAGATTGGGAGCGACAGCCGTGGAAAACGTTTGGGATAGGAGTAGTCTCTCTCTTGGGATATAGGATGGGTTGCCCCCCGAACAGCGTCGGCGGATCGAATGCCAACGACCAGGGCCCTCGCGCTCTTTGCAGCGCTGCCACTTGTTGTGCTTGCAAGCAGGCGCACGCCTCCCACCGAGGAGGAGTGCAAGGCGCGCCTCGACGGCATCTATGCTGATATTGAAGCCGGAGACCTCGATGCTGCACTCAAGACCTCCGAATCGCTAGACCGAAAGGTGCGAGAGATAGACAGAAAATACCAACATGTTGTGCTCCACACTGGGTGGCGTGTCGGCACTCACCCTGGCCCTATCCCCCTCCTCTAGCCGGGCGTGGACTATCCCAAATCGTGCTTGGTGGACGAACCGTACAATGGACCAGCCGAGTTGGAGATCATTTCTGGTGGCCAGCTGGATGACTCTGAGCTCGGGGCGATGGAGGCCGCGATTGAGTTCCCGGAGATCATCCTGCTTCCAGGCCGACCTCCCCTTCCGCTCTTCCGGATGACGCCCGTCGTCTCTTCGCCGGAAGTGCAGGTGCGAGGCTTCATGCTGGACATGAAGTTTTACCTCGTCTCGCACGGCCCGCTGGCTCCGGGCATGAAGAGGGGGAAGGGAGTCTCGGATGACGACGACGATGACGGTGGCGGGGCGTCCGATCGTAACTTGAACAGCTATTCCATCGGCGTCAAGACTGTCCTGGTGGTTCCTCTGTGCTGGTCCTAGATGCTGCATGCTGTTTCAGTAGGGCCAGCAGCCCAGTCCCAGTCTTCACTCGCGACGACACGTGCTAACACTACAGGTGCTGGTCGGACAAGTTTGACGGCACGTCTTGCGACGCGGTGGAGGACGGGTGGGACGGCGACTCGCTCTTCAATTACTGCGGGTACAGTCAGACCGGGGACTGCGGACCTAATGGCCAGCGCCCGACATTCAGCCAGCGGATGGCGGACACAATGGATTGGGCCAACGACTTTTTTGACTATAACTCCCAGGGTCGATTTCAGTTGCAGCCAACCATCACGGCGCCGGTCTCCGTCTCCGATATTACCTCCAGCACTTGCCACAACTTTAGCCCCCTCGGCAGCTCGAGCTCGAGCAACACCATCGACGTGAAGGCCTTCGCCGCCGCCGGCTACGATTATCCCCCGCTCACGCCATCCGGGGTCGAGTTCGACTTTTGGTGGGTGGGGACGCCGCGCTGCATGGGCTGGGGGTGGGGCGGGATCGGGCGAGTCGGAGGCCCCGGCCTGATCGTCAACCGTGTGTCCGGCAGCACCGCCAGCACGTTTATCCACGAGCTCGGTCACAACCTCGGCCTCAACCACTGCAACTCCAGTTGAGACGCTTCCTAGAATCCTCTAGTGCACTAGGCTGTCGTTCCGCAGAGTCGCCACTCGCGCAGTCCAAGCCGACATCCCTCACTTTCCTGGTCGCTCGCGCTTCAGTTTCTTCGGGCGACTGGGGCGCGAACATCGCAGAGACCATGTTCCTAGAGTCCAACTTGCCAAACCTGCAGACACCGACCAGCTACTCGTCGTACGGGGGAAGTCTGAGCGTCATGGGGGCCAATTCGGCCGGAAGTTATGGCGGGCACCTCTTGGCTCCGGAGAAGCTCATCCAGGTGAACGCCGCCCTCTCCCTTCTCTCTTCGCGGTGTCGTTTTAGATTGCCCGCCCCCTCTCTCGCCTAGGGCTGGCTGAGCGAGTCCAACATCGTCAAGATCAACTTGGACGAGGGCCCTTCTACCCGCGGACCCTTCTACCTGCAGCCGGCCGACCCCGTCCAAGCCGCCGACCTCAACTATCTCAGCATGCTTGGTATCAAAGGCGGGTTTAGCCACATTGTTCCTCCCGACGCGCGCCCAACTTGCAAGGAGGGCACTGCAGCTAGCTGCGCCGACTGGGTTGACCCAGACGCGCCAATCGCGCTGGCGATCGAGACCGAGGCGTGCAACCATCGCATCCTCAGTTACTGCGATAGCGGCCACGAGCAGTACAAGAAGTTCTTCTGGATCGAACACCGCATCGGCGACAAATACACTGGCCTCACCAGCGGAAGTGCGGTGTTCGTGTACTCCGCCTCGTATCAATACGAATACTCCATGGTGACTTCCCCCACAACCCTCCATTACACCGGGCGAGAAGGCAGCGTCCGGCTCCTGCCATCCCTCGATCCCGCACCCCCACACCCTACCAGGACTCGGGCCGCGTGGGTCGATCCGCCATGGTTGGCTCCGAGCAGTTTGGCTTCGGCGCGGAGGGCGGCGCGTTGTACGAGGGCGATGAGGTTGTTCTCGACATCGCGCACGAGTGGGGAACTGCGTCCGGCTCCGGCATCGAGGTGCGAGAGGTGCAGCAGGCTCAGCGCTACTTTCAGCGTCTCTTCATGGCTGTGCCTGCGACTAGGTCCGAGTGATGGTGCATGGTCTCGACGCGCGAGGCTACATGGGTGTCACCATCTCCAGCGACGACAAGCCGCCGAGCCCGCCACCGCCGCCGCCACAGCCGCCGTATATCGGTCCCCCGCAACCGCCGCCGATGGAATGCTTGTGCGACAACCCTGCTTCGGCTCAAGTGTGAGGGGCGTCTCTTCACACTTTCTTGTGCGAGCAGGTGCGAGAATGACTGCTACAACAACGGGAATTCCTGGACGAGCGACGGATATTGCGACGACGGCGAGCTGTAGCCGAGATATCACCGGCGGCTTGTGGGGGACCGATATACGGCGAGGTTTAGCCGAGATATCACCGCCGCCGATCTATCGGGGGACCGAGAGGCAAGCAGGACGCCTCGCTGAGAGCAGGCAGGACGCCGCAGGGTGAGCGGCCCGTGTCCTCACGCCAATGGCCGTGCACAGGCGGGCCGGGGAGTCAGTACACGGCAACCGACTGCCCTCTCGGTAACGACTGTGATGATTGCGGCGAGCGCTGCACTCTGATCATCTCTGCCCCGCCGCCCCCCTTCATTTCCTTGTCCTCGCCTCCACCCCCGCCCCCGCATGCCTCGCCCCCACCACCATCGCCGTCGCCACCACCGTCACCGCCGCCTCCGCCTCCGCCTCCACCTTCGCCGTCGCCCCCGCCGCCACCGGCGCCACCACCCTCCCCGGCACCGACACCTCCACCGCCGCCGCCACCCTCACCTCCGCCGCCGCCGCCGCCGTCGCCGTCGCCCTTTCCGCCCGGACACCTCGATCCACCGAGGACTCCGCCTCCGCCGCCACACCCATCACCACCGCCGCCGCCGCCTCCATCGCCACCCCCCGCGCCCCCGCCTCCACCGCCTCCGTCGCCATCACCCTTGCCGCGGCCACCACCTCCCCCAT